AAAAACTTAAAAAAAAACTGGTCTAACAATTACACAAAAAATTATGAATTTGAAGTAAAATTTGAGCTTTCATTACAAAATAAGGATTATTAGAAGAAGAGTAAAAATTTAGGGTTGTAAGTATTTTCAATTTCGCATTATAAAAAATTTAAATAAATACAATTGCCATGCCCTATAGTATTTTGCATATTTACAATATATAGAATTGGGACACTTATTGGGAATAACCTAAAAATTTTGTCCAAGACACTATTTTTCAGTTAGTTTAGTAGAAACTAGATTAAATTTACTAAAATTTGTTATAAATTGTTTTATACACTTTGATACAAAATTTTTGAATAATTTGTACTCGCCCCAATGAATTTTGCATATTTACAACATCTGTATTCGGGACACTTTTTTACATTTGTTGAATAACTCAAAAATTTTGTCCAGGACATTCTTTTTTTGTTATTTTAGCAGAAACTAGATAAAATTGACTAAAATTTTATATGAACTTTTTCATATACATTACTGTGAAAATTGTATGTATTGTCAATGACGATTTATAAAAATATAAATTAAGAAATTGGTCTAAAAAATTAAACAAGAAAAATTGAATTTGAAGTAAAATTTGAGCTTTTAATATAAAATAGGAATTGTGGATTGTTTAATATAAAATAGGAAGGTAAAAATTTAGGGTCGTATGTATTTTTAATGACGCTTTCTAAAAATATAAATATAGAAATTGGTCTAAAAAATAAACAAAACAAAATTAAATTTGAAGTAAAATTTAAGCTTTTAATACAAAATAAGGGTTATAAAGGCAAGGTAAAAATTTAGGATATCTTTTAAATAGAATATTTAACAAATTTGTACAAAATAAATTTAGCAACTCGGTATACTTCAAAATTCCAAAATCTAGGTACTTATTTTTATTACTCATCTCTTCCCGAGTCTATTAGTGTGTGTGTGTGTATGTGCAAGAGTTATCTAAATTGGTGCTAATTAATTATTTGCGACAAGTGACACTGGTGTCGCTGCGGTCGTTTTGCCGACCACGCCTAACTCACTCGAATCGCCTGCTTAAAATTATTATTAGAGATCATTTAAGTGCTTAAAATAACAAACAAGTTAATTTAATCGAGACATTAAAATTGTCTTCGACTATCTTTGATCTTTGGCAATGGTAATTGATGTCTTCATCCAACAAAGTGTCAAAAGATTCAGAATTATTCGAAACGTTGACAGAACATTTGATTAGCAAATCAAAAAAAGTACGTTTAAACAATTACTTTTGGCCTTTTTGGTTTAAAACTATTTATTTCTATTACCAGTTACCATGGTAACGCAACTCTTTGGCATGTCAATAAACAATTAATTTTGTATTATTAATTTTTTGATAATTAATTCTTTTGATACATTGATTTTTTATATCAGATAATTTGATATGAATTTTGTAAATGGTATTGAAAAAAGGATGTTTTTGGAAAATTCACCTTCAGGTAGTGATAGATCAACTTTGAGACGATCTCAAAGATTTTTGGAAGCATCTTTTGAAATTGAAAATGATCTGGTAAGGTTATGGAACATAATTTGTAATAATTTGGTCAAAATAATTAAATTTCCAAATACAAATTATTGTTTGAGTTATTTAAAGAAATGTATAAAAATGTCCAAAATTTTTATAAGGGAATCTTATTGTTTTTGTTAAATTTTATATGAAAGTGTTTATGGCTGCTTATATAAAATTGTAGTAAACTTTATCTAGTTTTGAGAACTGTAAACAAAAAAGAATGTTCTGGACATAGTTTTTGAGTTATTCAAAAAAGTGTAAGAAAATGTCTTGAAAATGTCCGTTGTATGGGAAACTTAGTACAATTATTGTATAAGGGTGAGTTCACAATGAATTTGTACAAAATTTTATATGAAAGGGTATAAGATTGTTCGTATGAAAATTTAGTAAATTTTATCTCCTATAAGCTAAGCTAGATAAAAAAAATGACCTGGGCAAAATTTTTGAGTAATTCAAAAAAGAGTAAAAAAAATGTCCCGAAAATGTCCCTTGTATGGGAATGACTCACAATTAGTACAAAATATAAGAGCAAGTTCACAATGGATTTATACAAAATTTTGTATGAAATTGTATAAGACTCTTTATAAAAAATAGAACATTTTATCTAGTTTCTGCTAAGCTAAATGAAAATAATGTGTCCTGGATAAAATTTTTGAGTATTTTAGAAAAATGTAAAAAAAATGTCCCAAAATTTTGTATGGGAAAGATAGTACAGTAATTATAAAAGGGCGAGTTTACCTTGAATTTATACAAAATTTAATACGAAAGTGTATAAGAGTGTTTATACAAAATTGAAGTAATTTTTATCTAGTTTCTGCTATAATCACGAAAAACGTATGTTTCGAACAAAGTTTTTGAGTTATTCAAAAAAGTGTAAGAAAAAGTCCCAAAACCTTGTTAGAACAAACCTTGTTAAGATAATTCGAGTTCGTGTTGGATTGATATAAATGCAGAAATGCGGAAAATTTCTAGTCTCTACTAAACTAACTAAAAAAGAGTGTCTACGACCAAGTTTTCGAGTTATGCCGAAAATTTTATAAAAATGTCCCAAAATTTTGTATGGAAAAGAAGGTACAGTAATTATATAAGAGCGGGTTCACATCGAATTTATACAAAACCTTGTATAAAAATGTATAAGGCTGTTTTTATCAAAATTTAGTAAATTTTATCCACTATCAGCTAAGCTAAATAAAAAAGTATACTCGGCCAAGCTTTTGAGTTATTCCAAAAAATTTATAAAAATGACCCAAAATTTTGTATTCGAGTTCACATTGGATTTATGCATAATTTTGTATGAAAGTATATAAAATAGTGTATATAAAATTTTAGCGAATTTTATCTAGTTTCTGCCAAAATAACAAAAACTGAATGTTTCGGATAAAGTTTCTGAGTTATTCAAAAAAATTATAAAATTGTCCCGAATCCTTGTATGAAAAACTTGCGAGCAATAATTATATAAAGGCGAGTTTACAGTGAATTTATACAAAATTTTGTATGGAAGGGAATAAGACTGTTTATAATAGAATTTAGCTAAATAAAAAAGAGTGTCCTGAACAAATTTTTTGAGTTATTCAACAAAATGTAAAAAAGTGTCCCGAAATCATAATATAGAAAAAATGTCTTTATAAATTAAAGAAAATGTTCATTACATATTTAATTGCATTTTCTACTAACAAATCAACAAATTGTAGTTTCAGGAAAAACAGCCATCAAAATCTCCTGAACCCGATTCAGCAGAAGCACAGAAAAAAATTCAAACAAAATCCGAAAAATTAGATGCATACACTAAACACTTTAAGGATTGCATCAAGCTTTTCCAATCAAACGTAAGTCTATAATTCAATTCCACCGTTCAAACCAAGATTTATTTTATTTTTTTTTTAGAAAATAACAAAAAACAACGTCTGGGATCTGAACCTGATCCACGACATGAACCAATTGGCGGTTCTGCAGAGCGAAATGATCATCGGAGATTTGAACCTGGCCGCAATTGGTGTGGAGGCTTGTGCCAAAATTTATGGCCTAAAAGTCGATGACCTGTACGAAGACGTTTTTAAATTGGCCATCAATTTGGGATACACGGACCCGAGAGGTAATTGACTTAATTAACGTCATTATTATTTTTTGAAGTAAAACTTCTTTAGGCGCGACTAGGGTGTAAATCCCTACAAATGCAAAGGAAGTGCGTTACAGCAGATAAGATAAGATAAGAGTCGTGTGCCAATGGATAAATATGACATACTAAAATTACAACATTCTAAAACAAATACAAACATTACAATAAATTTCTAAACTTTACTCCTTCAGCGTGTCGCATAAAATCACATATGTATATAAATTCTAGAGTGTACTTTTTTCATAAAATTTAAATATCTCAAATATTTGTTAGAAAACTCGTCGATTTTAGTATTTCTTAGGATAGTAGACATATTAGAGTATAACATACTAAAATTACAACGTTCTAAAATATACAGAATTATTTAAAAAATTCTACACTTTACTCTTTCAGCACGGAACACATATATAGTTTCTAGAGGGTACTTTTATTATGAAATGTTGAATATCTCGAATATTTGTTAGATTACATAACAGTTTTAGTATTTGTTAGGATAGTAGACATAATAGAGTATAACATACTAAAATTACAACATTATAAAATATCTACAACTATTTTTATAAAAATTCTAATCTTTACTCTATCAGCACGAAACACATCTATAGTTTCTAGAGGGCACTTTTATCATAAAATTTGAAACATTTCAAATATTTGTTAGAAAACTCATCGATTTTAATTTCTGTATCTGTAGTAGACATATTACAATATGCTATACTATGATTACAGCATTTTAAAAAGTCGTTCGCTCTCGATGATATCATTCTATACGGGTCCATTGTGATTAGTCGTCGCGTATGTGAATAGAGATCTGTCGTGGTATGTGTACCGAGATCAACAAGGAAATCGGCATAGATAAATAAACATTTTAAAGTTACATCGTAGTATAAATCTTGATTTAATGAAAAATGCCTGAATCAGAAGATATTTACTCTGTTCCTTGAAAATAATGAAACAAATTAAACATTTGTGCCGTGTACTAAACGTAAGTTAAATCAAGTTCTTGTAATTAAATATTGAAAATTTTTTACTCGACAATTTTTATGAATCCACTCGGAATACTTTTAATCACTCATAAATTAATTATTTTTTTATTGATTAAATCGATTATTTACACATATCGGGGAAGTTCATGTAACTCGCCTCAAGGCAAAATACCAATACAACTAGTTATTTTTTATCTATTTTCAGTTACAGAAGATCTTGTCGTCTATCAGTCTTTACCCAGGCTTTACATGAGAATAAAGAAAATGAAACGAGAAGTCTTAAATCGTATGTCGTACAAGATACTAGTAAAATAGATGATGATGAAATAAGAAAAAAACACTGGGCATGGCAAGTCTTTTTGGAGTCGAAACGTACTTTTCCAGTCATTTCGAATCCTTGGGACAAATGCGAACTTTGGGGTTAGATTGCATTAAGGACGAAGGAAAGGCTATTGAGTAAGTGTAAATAAATAATATACAGACTTACAAGGAGAACCTCAGGTTCATTCTGGGATTTTGGTGAAACTCATAGGCCTATAATATTTTAAGGTGTTCGTTTCGACTTCAACTCTATCACCATTTGATGTTCTATAAAAATCCCAGAAGAGTAAATCTGAGGTTTCACTTGTTAAACGTTTTGCCTGGATATGTTGACTCATTAATAATAAAAACCGAGTGAAACCACTTTTTTGCCAACGTTAAATATTATTTATTGAGGAATGATTTAGAATGTTGTGTAGTTATTCATTCATTTTTTTTCGATTATGTGCTCTCCCATTTCAAGGAGAGCAAGTCTATGATGACTTTGGTAAACTAATTTTATTTCCCTACCTAACACCAACTCAATGTTATCACTAGGTGCACTAATAAGTGGGCACACAAAAGAAACTTGCTCAGCATTTTCAATATCTCCTGAACAAGACAAGGCAGTTCAGGATCGTAATTGCATTATTATAGTCATCAAAAGTCATTATCAGTTCCTGGTGCAAATTACGTACCTCTTTAACAATTCTAGGATAGATAATCTATTAAACTCAAAAACTAGTGCATTATTATCAAAAAATTCAATTGTGTTTTTTTATTTAGGTACGAAGAATGCAATCAATCCAAGACAAAAACCAACGACAAAATGATTTCTGTGAATCGTTTACGAAATTGGAAAAAATAAGCATATTAACGAGTCCATTAATGAAGTCAAGCTTGTTGACGTCATTGCTACAGATCACAGGTAAATAAATAGTATAATCAATAACAGTTTTGTAATAAATAGTATATATTATGGTGGTCTCAATATGGATAATTTTCAATTTCCTTGCTCCCCAGGGGCTCAAATGCTTCCAAATGAATAAAAAAACAATCTCTGAAAGTTTTAGCTCTTAATATTAACGTTTATAGGTAGAGCGCAATTCAATCAAAGTTTTGTATGGAAATAACATGGGTAAAATCACATTTGTTTTTTAGAATTTTATAACTTGGGCGGCAGTGGATCAAAAATAAGAAATATTGTATTTGCTTTTTTTGATCATAAATATATTATTACAATGAAAATTTGATATATTTATAAAATAAGTATTTACTTGGGAAGAAGAAAAAACCGAGAAATTTTGTCGGAGTGTAGACTATCTTAGAGTTAATATTAAAAGCTAAATTTTCAGAGAAATTTTTGTATCAATTTGAAACCATTTGAGCCCTTGGGAGCAAAAAAATTCGAAAATGTCCATATTAAGGACCACCCTAATATTATATATAATATATATATATATATATATTATATATATATATATTGAAATGTTTGTTGGCAGCCAAAAAGTCATTAAATAATTTAAATCCTCATTTTGCACGTTCTGGCTCTGCATGTGTGTTATTATTCATACGTTAAACAACTTCCAAAAATTTTGTTCAAGACTCTAAAAAAATTACAATTTAATTTAATATTTGAATAAAAATGAATTTGCTCCATTTTTTATCATTTACTTTGCAATTGAAGTTTTTCGTCAGTAAAGTCCCTTTTTTAGTTTTAAATCAAAATGAAGTTAGCTAGTCAGTAGAGTCCTTTATTATTACTGAAAAATATAAAAAATATATCATACGTGCCAAAACAAAAAAAACTATGTAATTGCTTACCAAAATGAATTTGTAACGATTGCAACTGATGTTATATTGGCGAAAGTTCGTAATATTTTAACAAGATAAGTAATGGACATATCTGTAATTCATAAAATCCTTTGTACAATGTATTTTAGAATTTCCTAATGTGCTGAATGATGGCAGACACACAGTGTCAAAACGTACGTATATAATAGTCTTATGTTTTCATATAAAAATCCGTTTCGCCATTTTATGTTTTTTTAACGTTTTAAGCCATCCTGAATCTAATGAGACCAAATTTGGAAAAAAGTATGTGTGTGTGTGTATGTGTGAACATATTTTTGCGTTAAATCGAGGTTTTTCAGAAACGGCTGAACCGATTTCAGAAATTTAAAAGCCATTCGATGTAACTCGATGAGGACTTGCCGTTTCTTAGTAATTAAGAGAAAAGTGAAAAAAATTCGTCCACGTTTTAGCCAAAAACTCTTACTCGATTTTAAAAATTCAAAATCTTTTCAAAAGATATTGGTTGGAAAACCTAATTGGTTAGGTAGTGCTGATTACTTTCTGACAAAGATCACCGAGTCGTTTCTTTGCAATTAACTGTCGAAAATTATTTTTCGATGTAAAACTTTTATTGATAGACATCGTGGTCTTTTAGATCATAATAAACATTACGGCCTTACGACAAGTGGGTTTAATTTCATAATTCAAATAGTTTAAAAAAAAGATAGTCAAAATTAGTGTCGAAAAACGTTTTTGTAATTTCACAATTTAAAAGCCATTTTTTGTAATCAGCAAAAAAATAAGTCTGCAAACTTCTTTAGTTGCGTAAAAAATGTTAACATTAATTTAAATCATTGAAAATATCAAGGACCACGTATATGATATACGTAATTGTAAAACTAATTTCATGTAAATATTCAAATTATAATATATTTCGGTCGATTAAGTCAATTATTGCACTTGTCGGGAAGTTTATTCAACTTGCCTTATAGGGATATTCTAGTGTAAACAAATTAAAAAAAACGTTTTTTTTTAAATAAAAGTTAACTATCTAAGAATATGGGTACAAGATGGTTTTTGAAAATTTGAAAAATGAATTATTTTCGGAGATATAGGCATTTTACTGACTCGGTCTCCATACTGGTTTGGCTTCACGCAAAACTTTAAATGCGTTTTTCTCAGAACTTACTTTTTCAGTACTGTTGACACGATTTCTCGAGTTTTAATCGACCCGATTCATTTGAAATGTTCAGAGAGTCTATCTATAGCCTGAAACTAGGATTATCCCCAAATTACAATTTTTAATATTTTTAAAAAATTCGAGAAACTCCAAAAAACAGTAAAAATACACTTTTTCTCAGTCGCTAATTTTGTAAAAAAAATTTTTTTTATCATCGCTGTTCGGGCGTTTTTAATTTTTGTTTTGTATTTTAATAATATTAATAAACAAGTGGTACAAAAGGACAGTAAAAACATTCATTCCCTTCTTTTACTACTACTTTAAAATTGACCTAAATTTTATTGCTCTACACTAGAATACCCCCTTGAAGCTAAATGCCACTTTTTATTTATTGCTTTTTTGCTGCTAATAAATAGTACAAAAATTTTGTTTCAAAAA